TGGAAATTGGTTCATCTATAAATTCATGTTTGAGGGAAAATGACATCTGACTACTTGTTTACATTATAATTTACATTTTATTTATTTATCAAGTTTTAATTCAATTCAGTGTAGTTTCTGGTGACAAGAAATCTATGCAATCTATGAACTTTTGTTTGATTCAACTCAAGTACATATGGTTAGTCAGTGCTTGACACAAATCCTCGTGGGAACAATCTTTACTCATCATTTTATTACTTGTACGACTAGTACACTTGTTAGATCTGCAACAAGTTTTTGGCGCCATTGCCGGGGATTTGTTTTTCAACATTGACTGACACCATTAATATTTGAGATTGAATTTTTATTTTTCAGCAATTTATATGTATTTGTGAAGTTTTGTTTTTCTGGTCCAGAGCGCTAAAACGTTCAGACGTGACCGGTTTAGCGCAATGCGACGCACATCAGTGTGCACATGTCTCTGGAGACCAGCGCTAAAACGCTTGATTTCAACGTTTTAGCGCTGGTCCACTTATGTGATTTACACTATTATTTCATACATTTCACACACTCTCAAATGATTTTTCTTTTTTTGTTAGTTTCTTTCAGTTTTATTTTGTTGTTAGTTTACTTTTGTAATTCAGTTAAGTACATTGGGATATTCACTGTTTTTGCATGATGCACATTGTGATAGTACTGATGCTATTGGTTTATATATGAATGTGTTTCAGTGATCCATTGCTGTTAAGATTTGAATTAGTTGCTGGGGACAGCAACGTTTAAATCTGGGAATTGGGTGTGAATGAATGGCATGCAAAGATCATGGAGATGTCACACAAATTGATGAGCCAAAATAGGGAAATATCTCAATCTTTTTATTGTTTATTTTTATTTTTTATGTGTAATTTAGATGTTAGTTGTGATTCAGAATTTGGATTTTAGTTTTAATATGAATTTCATGAGGATTTGACTGATCAGAATTTTATATGATTGATCAAATTAAGGATACAATCTTATACCTTGCATTTTGAGCTTAAATGAAATGATTGCATGACTCATTCAATGTGTAAGAGTAGAGAGATTAGTTTTGATGCATATAGAAAAAGTCAAGCATACACTCTGAACTGTGAGAATTTGAGCCTATACAGAAAATTTTGTTCAGAGAGCACTTCACTGCATGAATAACTCTAGAACTTGCCCTGTTTCTCGCTTGAAATGGTTGCTGATGTGTAGGGTAGAGGCATTTCCTTCTTTAACCAGAAAGTCAACTGGCCAACCTTTAATTTAACCAGAAAGTCAACTGGCCAACCTTTAATTTAACCAGAAAGTCAACTGGCCAACCTTTAAGTTTCCATTGCATGAAAACCTTGAGCCTAGCATGTTGTCTATAAAACCAAGAACCACATTTATTTCAATCCTTCAGATTAAAAGTTTCAGATAAGTGATAAGGGATGGAGTGTTCTTTGGGGAGGAAAGTGTTTTTGCAATAAGTGAATGCAAGGTGTTGGAAATAAAGGAAAGAAAGAAGGAAAAGAAAGAAAAAGGTATGAAATACAAGTGTTGGAAGAGACAAAAGAAAGTATTAAAGACACAAAGTGTCTGAAAGAAAAAGGAAGAAAAAGAGAATTCTTTGTTAAAGACACAAAGTGTCAGGAAGAAAAGGAGGAAGAAAGGTTCAAAGAAAAGAACAAGGAATGAAAAGGAAGAAAGTTGAGGGAATTAGGAAGAAATTGATTAATTACTGTGAATTCCCTCTTATCTGAATCTGATTTATTTGATCTGAACTTCCCCTTTCACAGAAATCCTTACCTCTAGTCAAGCCACACACCAAGCCTCATTGCTAATAATACCAAAACCTTTTTGATCTACCTTATGGATCATTGTTACTATGAATAGTGAGAAGATGGGCAAGCTTATGGCAGTTTAAGTGCAGTGAAGAATGAGTGATAAGTACATCCTTAAACACTAGTGTGCAAGAGAGTTAAATTCTCATAATTTTTGAGAAGTTCCTAGTGAGGGGGTGTTTTGTTTGGAAGTCTCTGTATATCATCTTTACTGATCTGTTGAAAAGTCACAAATGATGTTGGGCAAATCATAGGAAATAAGAGATTGCATGGTTATAATTTTGTATCATGAAATGTTGATCTTTTGTTAATTGAAGTCCATCCTCATGAATTTCATCTGTAAAGAATCTCAAGTCCTTCTCTATTTTAATTCATTGCTGAGGACAACAATGTTCAAATCTGAGAATTGTGATGAACCCTTAGTTCATCATGTTTTTGAGCATGAGTTAGTATAAATTTATGTGATTAAATGGATGAAAAAGAGGTCAATGTCATATAATTTCCTAAATACAAGTTCTGGAAGTTGTATTGAAAATTTACATTGTTCTTGTAGGGAATTGAAGCTCAAAGAAGCAAAAGAGAGAAGGAAGAAGATTCTGAAAATTGGAAAATTCTAAGTGTTGGGCGCTAAAACGCCCAAAACTGAGCGTTTTAGCGCCCTGCTGCACAAAAGATGCTGGTGCTGAACATTAAAATGCCCAAAACTGAGCGTTTTAGCGCCCTGCTGCACAAAAGATGCTGGTGCTGAACATTAAAACGCCCAAAACTGGGCGTTTTAGCGCCCAAGACAGTTAAAAACATTTGGGCATCCGTCAAGGTTGAGCGCTAATACGTCCAGAAATGAGAGTTTTAGCGCCCATGTCAGTTTTCAGTTGTAATTTGTAAATTATAAAAGGACAAGGGGCCTTCACAAGATGAGATCAGATGCAACTCTCTCATATCCATTCTCTGATATTCTGACTTTCCCCATCACACTAGGAGAAGGGAGATCAGGTCAGATCTTTCATAGATCTGATCTAACTCCTCATTTTCTCTGACTTTCCAAATTCTTAGGACTTAGTATTGTAATAGTTAGTATACTTTCATGTAATTGTACTTGAAGATTGAAGACTCAACTATCATGACAATGGAGTTTGATCTTTCTTCTTCTTCTCTTGTTATTATTTGTATTATGTCTGAGTAGAGTCCTTTGTAGTCTGATTCAATGGAACTCAAGTTTGAATTTATGAATGGTTAATTAGATGTTTTGTTTATCTATTATGTGATTGTATGAAGTTGTCTTGATTAATTCTTCATGTTGAGGAATAGTGTAGAACAGACATGTTTACATTGTTTTTCTATTTTTGACAACTTCATCATCTGTGTTCTAGTAGTCGAGGGATTGATGCTAGGATTCTGATGTGATCTTAAGACCTTAGTAATTAATGCATGTATTAAGAAAGGAGTCACCAAGGGATTGGGGTTTCTGATTAATGTATCTATCAGGGTAGTAAGGGATTACATCTTGAGATGATAAGAAAAAGGTTGATCAATATCACATAGTAGATAATTCATAATGGAAATTGGTTCATCTATAAATTCATGTTTGAGGGAAAATGACATCCGACTACTTGTTTACATTATAATTTACATTTTATTTATTTATCAAGTTTTAATTCAATTCAGTGTAGTTTCTGGTGACAAGAAATCTATGCAATCTATGAACTTTTGTTTGATTCAACTCAAGTACATATGGTTAGTCAGTGCTTGACACAAATCGTCGTGGGAACAATCTTTACTCATCATTTTATTACTTGTACGACTAGTACACTTGCTAGATGTGGCATATATCTCTTTACGTAAATTAGAAAGTAAGAATTTTAAGCTTTTTATCCATAAATAATAAGTCTTAATTGAGTAAGATATAAATTTTTGAAATTGGGATAACATAATCTAAATAGTATTATGTATTCCAAAAGCCTAATTTTAAGTAGCAATATCTTAGCCAATTCACATATTATATATAGATGGAAAATTTTCAATTCCTATTTCGCTAACAGTGAAAGAATTACAAACAAAAATACTAAAGTGATACATGTCATGAAAGTGGGTCAAAACCCCAGTTTCAAAGAATTATACTCCAATTATTCAAAAAGATGGGACGGATTTAGGGGAGGGGCGACCATGGAGATCATCCTTCCTAAACTTTTAATTTTTTTATTATATTATATATAAAATAATATTTTTTAATTCTAATAGACTATTAATATCAAATAGTTATCATGCCCCTCAAAAATATTTATAATCATTAACTCATTAGTCTTAATAACACTTGTAATTTTAATATTTTATTTTGCTCTTCATCATAAAAATATTTAATGAAGTAATAATTAATTAGATATATAGATTATCATAAATAATTAGATATAATCACCGCTCAAACATATATTAATAAAGTAATTATTTTTTATTGGTCACTATATATTGTGTTTTATTCACTTATTTGAAAAATATTTAATTAATCATATTTAAAACAAAATGGGGATATTAGGCAAGATTAATTTCTTTATATAAAAGCAGATTTTTAATTAGCTTAATTGTGATGTACGTGGATAAAAAAGAATGGTCCACACGAAGAGATAGAAGTTAGGTGTTAGTTCAGGTTATGTAAGCATTTGATTCCAATTAGAAGCGTAAATATCTCCATATCTTTATCAATTATTCGACTTAACCAGTATGAGCCTATGAGGTATATCAAATTCATTATGGAGAACTTTTCTAAATTTTTTTTTTTTTCATATTTAGAACTTCGACTTGAAATTTTATCACTTGAATCAATGATTATTAGTTGAATAACACTTTTTACAACAGAGATGTTTGACTTGACGATTTTTTATACAAATGCTGTGTTTTAATTTGTTTAATTTCCATGTGGATCAAGAATACTGTTCCATAGGAAGGGATAGAAAAGCAAGGTCTAGTGTCAGCGTGTTTTGATGTTGACTAACCAATTCTCGAATGGTTCATTATGTCACATTGGTACAAGTCTAGTTTCATTATTATATGAAAAGCAAGTTTAAAAATCAGAATAAGAAGTTAATGTAAAGTTTTTGTGAGTGTAAATTTGCCTATAAGTAACTAGGCTTTCATATATTATTCCGTTCACTGATTTTCTTGTTTCCTAACAATAATCCTTGTTCAAAATGATCCCTCTTCACTTTGAAAGAAAATGAGGCCAGAAGGACCAGCATTAGATAGCAGTGCCAACCTCACAGCCCCTTCAGCACCTTCATCAGGTGTTAGAACACCAGTATTGTGGTTCATATCCGTTTTCACAAAGCCAGGACAAATAGCATTGATGCAGAATGAAGGGTACTTCTTAGCCAGAATCCTTGTGTAGGCATTCAGGGCAGCTTTTGAGATAGCATATGCAGACATACCGAGAGGCCACCCTTTGGTTTCTAGTGAACCTTCTTTAAAATCCTTTAGAAATTCATTCAAAATATCATCAATCTTTTCCTCTGTAAGGTTTTGAACATCACTTAGTACTTCCTTAGGCCATCCATTTGGTATCTTCTGCAATAGAAATTACATGAGAATGAGCACCATCTTCAATTATTGAACCATTTTTTAGACATTATTTCTTGGACCTTTTTCACAATGTAAACAAAGAGGGTAGCAAAAGTTGCTAGTATCATATACCTCCAGCCTTCCCATGTATGCTGAAACATTGACAACTTTTGGTGAGTCTGATAAGTGGAGAAAGGGAATAACCATTTTGGTCAATTCCTTGGCTCCATGGTAATTTGTTTTAAGACCTGCTTCAGCTAATTCATAGTTTTCAGTTACTATTTTACGCCAATCAACATGGCCAGCATTTTTCTGAAACCAAAATCAAGAGACTTGATTTCTTTTAAATGTGTTCATTAGGGAAAATACAAGTGCAAGGCTTGAAGCGGATTTGTTAATTGCTGATTGAAGTTATGTACTATCTGTCAATCTCTATATAAATTGGAAATATAATTTACCAACATAACAGAATTGTGCTTGGTTCACACAGCAGTAAGAAATCAGTCACAAATTATGCTTAATGCAAAGAAAGGAAAAGCATTGGAAGTGAATTTGTCATCAATATATTCATATTCATTCAATCTCCTCAGCTCACAGGAAATGTAATTCTAATCTTCTTTCCCCAAGTCCTAGTGCTAACATTCAACTTTCTTGTTAGGCATTGGTTAACAATATTCAACACAAATGCATGATTTTAAGCTAACCTAGATTTCATTAACAATTACACATCATTTCCAATACTATAAGGGTGTGCATGACAACCATTCTGTTCCCTAACACTGCTTCTGAAAAAGAAACAATTTTTTTCTATTTCTGTGCCTTGGAATAGTTTCTGAGGAAAAAAAATGTGTTTGATAATATGTTTTATTTTTATTCCGAGAATGAAAATTGTGTTTGATAATGATGTGCCTCTGGCATATGTGGTTTTTCAAGTTAAAAATGATAAGTATTAAGTCATAAAAGAGCAGTTTATATACATATTTGCTTATTATGTTGACTTTTCCATTTCAATGATATTTCTCACCTAATTGTTATGTTTATATAGGGAGAAAGAAGGAGAACACGAAATTTTAAAAGATTGTTGGCGTGAATCCGCGCAGGTGGTGGTGCTGAGCTGCACCAGTCCTCCTGGGCCATTGTCCAGAGTTTTGGCGCGATCCTGCGCCATAGTGGCGTGATCCAACGCTAGTCTGCTAGGTTATTTTTTAGAACTTTGGCGCGATCTTGCACCATACTGGCGCGATCCCGCGCCAGTTTGCGGGAAAACATTACCGTGTTTTGAAGGGGCAAAATTGGAAGAAGCGCGAAGGGTAATATAAAAAGAATTATTAAAAGACAGAAAAAGGGATCAATTATCAAAGAACCGTCGTGCTTCAGAGAGAGAGTTCTTGCGAGGAAATCTTGTTCATCCTTTCTTCTTCCATCTTCTATTTACAGTTTATGTTGAATTTTTGTATGTTAGCCAAGACAATGGTTGGCTAGTACTCTTTATTGTAGTTAGGGTCACAAACCCTATGTGAACCCTTGTTACAACGGATTGATTTATATTTACTCTTTTATTTATATATTTATATTCATCTCTACTCTATGCGTAATTGCTATTCTCTTTGTTAGAATTGATCAATCTAATAGTTGATGATAATTTGAGGGTTAGAGACCTAGATAAGAATATTGGGATTTTGATCTTGAAAGGGAGTAGGATAACGATTTGTATGCGTGCTAGGAATAGATGTATATATTATTGCAGATGTTTAATTTATCGTGCTCATTGCTTAATTCCATGAGGAACATTGCAAGGAATTGAGGGTTAGCTATTTAATATTCTTAGATGATAAATTATCTGAATATTTATTTAGATGAGTATTTTAAATCAATTCAGAGTAAAAAGTGGGGATCATATGGTGAGTGCACTCTAGCTACAAAGCTTTCTTATATTTTTTTTAAATATCCATCTCTGTTTTATTTTTCATAATAAAAATCCAAAAATTCGTTTTTACCTTTAGTTCTTATTTTTACTCAATCCACAACATTTTTCACAACTATTGAATTTCTTTTCGTCTTAAAGGGAACAATTATTTGATATTCGATCACAATCCTTGTGGAAACGATACTCTTCTTATCACTGTATTACTTGTTCGATTGGTATACTTGTCAATACATATCAAATAACACAACAAATAATAGAATAAAAAATATTCCTATTAAGCATAAAAAAATTTCGGATCATCACTTTCCTTTTCATATGGTGTGGCGGCGGCGGCGGCGATGGTAATGGTGGCGATGGTGGTGGTTGTAGTAGTGGCGTCGTGGTAGTGGTGATGGTATGGTGGTGGCAGCGATGGCAGTAGTGGTGGCAATGGTAGCGGCGATGGTGGTAATAGTGACAACGGTGGTGGTGGTAGTGGTGGTGGTGACAATGATGGTGGTAGTGATAATGGTGGTGACAATAATGGTAGTGGTGGTAGTGGTGATGATAGTGATGGTGGTGGTGACGTAGAGATGGTGGTGGTGGTGATAATGGTGGCAGTAGTGGTGGTGATGGTGATGACATGGGGGTGGCGGTTGCTGTGTCGATGGTGTAATGATGGCATAGAGGCGGCGGCAGCGGCTTTAGTAGTGGTGGTGGTGGTGACGACAGTGGCTGCGACAATGGTGATAATGATGACATGGTGATGGTGGTGGCGACGGCGGCGACGGTGGTAGTAATGGTGGTGGTGATAGCAGTGGTTGCAACGATAGTGATGACATGGTGGCATCGTGGTGGTGGTGGCAGTGGCTACGATGATGGTGGTGGTGTTTGGTAATGGTGGTAGTGATAATGGTGATGATGGTGATGGTAGTGGTGGTGGTGGCTGTAACGTAGAGGTGGCGGTGGTGACAGCTATGGCCGCAGCGATGGTGGTGATAACGGTGGCGATGGTGGTGGTGATGATGATGACATGACGGTGGCGGTGTCGACTATAATAGCCCATCTTAATTAATTAGTAAATCAAGTGTAATTAATTAATTAAGCATGTTTTACTGAGTGAAATTAAGTATAATGCTTAATTAAATGAATCTGAGTCACTTTGGAGTTAAAAAGTGTACTCAGTGAGAATTAAGGGGTATAAATGGGTACTGGCAAAAGTACCCAAAATATAAAAATAAAAATAGTAATATTCCTAGAATAATATTCCAGACTTTTGGGTAAAGTTTGGTAATTATTGGAGTTGAATAGATAGACGAACCAATACCCGCTTAAAGCCACTTAACCTATGTTAAGTGACTAAAAGCCAAAGGAGCCCCAACCCCCCCCCCCCCCCCCCCCATTTTTCCCGTCGCCAGAAGAAAGAAAAGAAGGAGAAGGAAGAAGAAGGAGAAGGGGGAGAGGGAGGAAGAGAGAGAGGAAGAGCAATCCTCCACCGATTGGAGTGATTCAAAAGCCTAAACCACTCTAAATCTTCCCCTCTTTCATAATCTAAGCTTAGTTTTGAGTGAGGAGCATTGCGAAGAGAGATATTGCCTCTCAAAAATTCGACCATTTGAGTGATTTTGGGGTTTTGGGAAGTTCAACCTCCATGGGAGCTTGAGGAATGCTCCTTGCTTGGTTGTGCAACCATTGGTGGTAAGATTCTACCCCTTGAACCTCATAATTCCTTGAAATTGCATAAGTTAGGGTTTATGAATAGTAAATTGGGATTTTGATGAAATGTAGTTGAATTTGCTATGTTCTAGGAAGAATGAGACTTAGTGCATGTTATAAGAAATGCTAGGAATGGCATTTAATCGGTGAAAATGAGCTTAGATAGTTATATGACTATACTTTGAATGTTGCAAGAATATGATACTTGGTTGTGAGTTTTCTTGCAATGATGATAAATGGTTTGGCTTGGTTGATTGATGATTGGATCCTTGTGATGTCTAGGATTGAGACATTTGGACCAACCGTGAGTGATCAACCGCTTGAGCAAGCTATAGAGCTTGAGTAGCTCATTGGAATTGGTAAGCTCATACTTGTGTTGTGTTTTGAATTGAGTAGTTGATGGTTGATTGTGAAATACTCTTGGATGCAATGTGTTGATTGCATTACACCATGTGTAGGTGTTGGTTTTGGAGTAGAGTATTGTTGACATTGGTGGTGAACTAAGGTTGCTGAAGCTTTGAGGTAAGCCTTCGGACCTTGGGTGTAATTCCCTTGATTGTTCCACCAAGCCCTGAAAGGGTAGTGGTGATTATAGTGTATATAAATGCAATAAAATAGTGTAATGCTTTGTTATACGTATGTGTATGCATTTGGTGTGGCATAGGATGGTGTTTCCCTATGTGGGTATGTTGCATGACGATGCGTAAATCATACTTGGTAGTTAGCTGGCCAGTAGGACTATTTGCATCTGAGTTTCCTTAGGACAGCTTGAGAGCTCGAGGGACTTCTCCTGGAGATGTATTGCACTTTGCATAGATATGTATTTACTGCATTATTATTGTTATTGCTATTACACTGATATAGACTGTGGGGTGGAGAGATGCTCCAAGGACCCCTGGTTTACTGGATATATTCGTATATCTCACCCCGTGTTGTGGGGACCCCCTTTCAGGTAAGGATGCTGCAGGAGCCTCTGGTGGCAAGTGGCCATATCTGGATTATGCATGAAATGTGGCATTTCTTTTGAGATTGTACATGTTGTTTTGTAGCTCACATGTATAGAATTAAATGAATAGGCAATGCTAGATTTATGATTAGTATATTGGAATGGACTTAGCCTATGCTCATGCCTTTGGTCATCTCTTTTGTTGATGGGAGCCAAGGGAATGATCATAGTGTTTTGTAAGCTAAGTTTCATGATTTTGTAATGGATATGTAATGTAAATGATGCCTACTTGAAATTCAATATATGCATGCTTGTTATGTATTGAGTTATTGAATTGGTTGGGCTGAGAATCAATTAGGTACCTTTTGTTTAAATTGGGAAACGATGAGAAAACAAAGGATATGCTGCCCAAATTCTAGCTAAATCTCCTGATGAGAGGTTGGATGAGTGCTAGGATTTAGTGTTGGGGCATGGACAATTGGGGTTTGGAATGGGGATGCATCTTCCCCTAGACTTGGACTTGAAGAAAGTGGGAATTGGAATTCCCTGGCAGCGCGCTTCAGCGCCCAGGAGCGCGCTCAAGCGCCCTGCTGCCCCTGTGAGTGCCAATGCATTCGGCCTCCTCGCGCTGGAGCGCCCAAAATAGGGCTTAAGCGCCCAGGATTGTGCGCTGGAGCGCCCTGGCTTGCGCTTAAGCGCCCTTTGCTGCAGAAAGATGGGATGCTTACTGTCCCCTCGAGTTTTAGCGCCCAGGGTGGGGCTTAAGCGCCCAGGATTGCGTGCTTGAGCGCCCTGGTCCGCGCTTGAGCGCCCTTAGCCACTGAAGGAGGAGATGCTTCTGTCTCTGCGCGCTAAAACGTCCCAATGGGAGCTTGAGCGCCCTGATGCGCGCTTAAGCGCCCATCCACACTGAAATACCTGATGCTTCCTGCCTCCGTGCACTTAAGCGCCCAGATGGAGGCTTTAGCGCCCGATAGCGCGCGCTTGAGCGCCCGGTAGCGCGCTGAAGCGCGCGGGGCCTGTGACCAACACTCTCTTGTGTTTCTTCCGATTGTCATAACTTGGGTTAAAGTGCTCCGATTTGAGCGCGGTTTGAAGCCACGCATAGCAAATGAAGAGATCTACAATACAGTAGAAGTTGTGAAATAAATAGGAAGTAAATTAATGGTTTAAAAATGGAATAAGAACATGATGTTAAGCTTAGTTTATCTGATTCCGCAAGGTAATACGGTTATGATCACGAAATTGGGTATTATAAATTCGGCATGTTTTAAAATGAAAAATTTATCCGGATTTTAATTGAACCCATGTGATTGTAACTGCGCTTAATATCATAATGCGATGTTAACAAACCGGTTCTAGAATGGGGTGTTACATCGATGGTGTAGTGGTGGTAATGGTGGCATAGTGGCGACGGCGACGACGACGACGGTAGTTGTGGTGTGGTGATGGCGGTGGCTGCGACAATGGTGATGATGATAACACGGTGGGGGAGGCGGCGGCGGCGTTAATGGTGGTGGCGGTGGCGGCGATGGTAGTGGTTGTAGTGGTGGTAACAGCAATGACAGCAACTATGGTTATGATGATGACATAGTGGCAGCGGTGTAGTGGTGGCGGTGGTGATGGCGGCAATAGTGGTGGTGGCAGTGGCTACGATGTTGGTGAGGGTGGTAGTGATAATGGTGGTGACGGTGACAATAGTGGTGGTGGTGGTAATGATGGTGGTGGTGGTACGACGATGGTGGCAGTGGTCGTGTCGAGATGGTGGTGGCGGTGGTGATGATGGTAGTTGTGGAGAGTAATTGAGAGAGATAAGTGTTTCTCGTTTTGTGCCCGGGAACAAAAAAGCAAAAAAAATTTGATTCTTTTTTCTGTTCCCCAGCACAAAAAATTAAATCGGTTCATCCCGGGAATAAAAAAATAAACCGTTTTTACCAAATGAGTTTACTATTCATTTCTGTTCACGGAAGCCTAAATTAAAAAAAAAAAATTGATTTCGGAAAGGTTGTCAATGGACACCTTTAATTATTCAAAAACTATTTTAAAGTAAAACTTCCTTTACTTTTGAGGTAAACACATGAAGGGAGGGAAAAAAGTTCATACCATAACATCTGCAGCAGCCAAAGCCTCACCGTCTACATTTGCTCCAGGTATCCCTGCATTGTTAACCTAGACAAGAATCCATGTTTCAAATATTTCCTCCGTGACTCAAATTATGAAGGTGAACTGAAAACTATAATTCACAGATGGAAAAATTATGATAGAAATCCCACAGATAGAACCAGAAGGTGCCCTATATTTTCTTAATTGTAAGGTACCCCTGAAACTAGGATATAATTCTTAAATACAAACCAGGAAACAAGAAAAATGTAGGCTACTTGCAGAATAAGGTATGCATCATCATTAGAACAAGTTTATGTTGATATTTGATTGTATAAAATGGTAAAGGTGACAGCATATCATTTTTAAACGAATTCAATTTGAGGAACATAACCAAATTCAGCAATTTGAATCAAATAAATAGAACATGTATTGGTAAGAGCTAGAACCATGAATTTGGAATATTGACCATAGTAGCAACATTGTAAGTACCAACCCTCAGAAAGAAAAAAAGAAAGAAAAGAGAAAACTGATTCTTTTATTAAGTATAGGGTGAAAGTTGTTATTATTTATGTTTATTCTATCAACTCTTACATTACAAAGGTAGATGATAAAGTAGAAACACCAAAAAATAAAAGCCACCAGAATCTTCTTACCAAGATATCAAGTTTACAAAATTGGGTCCGGATGAAATCTGCAAGTGATGCTATACTTGCAGAATCTGTGACATCAAGTTGATGAAAAACAACATTGCCAGGCAGACCAAGCTCTTGGAGTTTCTCAACAGATTCAAGACCCCTCTTCTCATCTCTGGCTGTTAGCACCACATTGATCCCATTAGAAGCCAATTGCTTGCATATTGCAAATCCTATTCCCTTATTTGCTCCTGTGACAACAGCATACCTAAAAACCAGTTGAACAAGTTAAGAAAAGAGTTTGTGTCGTTCTACTTATACGGTGCTTACTTAGTCTTATTCCTAATCATCGCAGGTCTTAATTACTCATCACTCGCACTTGAATTTCTTACAAAGTCATTATAATTATGTTAATATAAAACTTTGGTTAATTGCAGGGTACATTGAAGACAGGGATTCCAAGGAAAATGGTTACCTTTTTGTTGCTTCTGCCATTGTTCATGAAAGAGGGAAGTGCCTAAAAATATGAAGGGACTAAAACAAACTGCAATTAAAGTATGGTCTCAGTTTATATATCTTTATGAGTTTTAATTATGAATCTCCACACCATCAAATTCTAGTTGATGTTCAAACAACAATATCTTTTAAATTTGTCTTTTATGGAATTTTAACGATATTATCAACAAGAACAAGTGGTGTTGGCCCACATTTTACTTTGGTTAAAACGGAACGAAGTGCTCCCACCGTCGCATCTTTATCATGATGCGGCGGCAGATATCAAAGCCATGTATGTAATTAAAATCAAACATTGGACTTCAAGTTGATTATTTCAACATATCACTATTTCAAATTGTGAAACTCTTCTCTTTATACAGTCACAATATTGGTGTTGAAGCGTTAATTTGAAAAATAAGAAATAACTCCGACTTGGGATTAGTATTATAACCAAAGTATTAAAATTTATGGGAATATTAGAGACGACTCGCCTTAAAGAAATAATTTGGATTTATATAAAAAAAATAACTGGATTAATCCACCAACTATCCAATGTACAAATAGTTGGTAGTTTTCCTTTTTTTCCTTTACCCAAAAACCAACCAAAAATCTCCCTATCCTTATTTTAGGATGAAACAAATTAGAGGAAATCATCTTCCTGTTTTCTTTTAAACAAAAACATAAGGAAAAACTATATGCATACAATAATATCGTATATTTAAAACATTTAGCTTATAGCATTAATGGATCCTTTTTTTCTCATATTGCTGGAAACAAAATTATCTTATGTCACCTATTATAATTTAATTATAACTATGTAACTCGAGAAGTATATAGTTATAATATCAAAATTGTTTTTTTTTCTCTCTCCACGTCAGCCGATAACTTATGAATCGAAAAAAAAACTTTAATATTATAACTATGTATTCCCTGGAGTACATAATTATAATAGGTGACATAAGATACTTTTTTTTTTACGAAACATACATAAGAGTATGATTTCCCTACATTAATATGCAACAACCATTATGTATTTAAACACACTGTAGACAAATATTATTTCACAGCACAACCAAATAGTTTTCATATATCTACAAATTATTGTCTCAGACAATCACAACAAGAAACTTAGCTAGTACCAGAAACAGATATAATAGGGCCAAAAGTATATAGCCATATCCATCAAAAGGAAAACACCTCATCCCTTGAAAACAAGAGGCCAGAAGGACCATCATCTGGCAATAATGCTAGCTTAACAGGACTTTCAGCACCTTCATCAATGCTTAAAAAGCCAGTGTTCTGGTTTATATCAGTCTTGACAAAGTCAGGGCATATACAATTTATGCGAAAACGAGGGAACTTCTTAGCCAGCATCATTGTATAGGCATTTAAAGCTGTTTTTGACATGGTGTAACCTGAAAGAAAACCTGGCCAGTTTTTTGTTTCCAATGATCCTTCTTTGTAATCTTTTAGAAACTCTTTAAGCACCTCTTCAAGTTTTTCATTTGTAAGGTTTTCAATGTCACCAAACACTCCTCTTGCCCATTCATTTGGTATGTACTGAAACCACAAAAGCAGAAAAATAATGAAACCTTATTCTTTTTTTTTTCAAAGGTTGAGAGCTAAAAAAACACCACATATTGTAGTTAGGGTTTAGTGCGTGTAAGTTGTGTGACTTACACAAAGTTTGACCGGTCATATTTTGTGTAAATCTGAAAAGTTACTTTCTTTTTTTTCACTTTACACGTCAACGATGTGACTGGGGAGAGAGAAAAAAAACGTAACTTTTCAGATTTACACAAAATATGACTGGTCAAACTTTGTGTAAATCACCTAAAAGGGACACAAGCTTGTGTCCTTTAAAACGATACTTCCTTTTTCCCTTGTAGTTAATACATAAGTTTCCATGTTTTGAATTGGAGAACTACAATAAGAAGTTTTAGTCTCAATGTCAATTCTTTAATTTCATCCGTCTAACGATTATAATTTATATGGAATTAATAATTAATTAATGAATTTAATTCAATAAATTATAACTATTGGATGTACGAATATCAACAATTAAAATGAGAAGTAATACTCTGTATTCTTACCGGAATGAAAAGACCATTCACCTTTGAAGTCACTTTTTTCCAAACAAAATAAATCAAAAATTATAAAATGCATATTTTTTATCATTGAGAAAATAGGTTTACCTTCAATCGTCCTATTATAGCAGAAATATTGACAATCCTCGGTGAAGTGGATAGTTGGAGCAGAGGAAGAAGAGCTTCAGTTACTCTTTCAGCACCAAGGAAGTTCGTTTTAACGCATTCTTCAGCTAGCTCATAATTCTGACGCACTACTATATTCCAATCCGATATTTCACCCCTTTTCTACAACAAAATTAAGTCATACCATTTAGTGTACTGGGAAATTATGTAGGATTTAATTAACAAAAACCAACAAGCTTTTAGAGCTAGAAGCTACTCAAATTGAAAACACAAGGGATCGGAAGGCCAGATATTTTATGCAAACATGGATGCAAATAGTTTTATTTGTCTTCCAACTACTTTGGGATAAAATTGATATTGATGTTAATATTCATGTGTCCGTCAATTAATGATGATTGATATATCGAACCTATATTCTATCCATCTAATTTGGGTTTGATTATTGTTGAGATATATAATCCCACGTTGGTTGTATGTGCAACTAATGTGGAGTTTATAAGGTCTTGGGCACTCCCACCCTTTAAGCTAGCTTTTGGGGTGGTGTATCCCAAGGTTTTTTACATGGTATCAGAGTCTCGTCGTCCCCCACTTTCTCTTGTGGAGTTTCTTAGCACAGGTAGGCTGGGCCCTGTTACATTGTCCACTCTTCAAGCCCAGGGCCTGTTACATTGTCCACTCTTCAAGCCCAATGGGCTCTCGTGTGAGAGGACGTGTTGAGATATATGGTCTCACATTAGTTGTATGTGCAACTAATGTGGAGTTTATAAGGTCTTGGGCACTCCCACCCTTTGAGCTAGCTTTTGGGGTGGTGTATCCCAAGGCTCTTTACAATTATTAAATTATCCGTGATATATCATCTCATCATAAATTCTCAATGAGATTGCTGATTTTCAATCATAACGAGACGTGATCTTTCCCTAATTTAAACTTTTAATTTAAAAAAATTAAATATTTATCCACAGGATCAAATGGTAATATGGCTGAATGAGATATGCCAAAGAAGAAAAAAAGGAGGGGAGGGTCATCCTTGGTCATAAGCCCCCAAAATATTATGAAAATATTTCATTTTATCCATAGTTTTTTTTTAAAATGAAAATGAAAAACATAATCTTGAACTTGATCTCTCAATGAGTTATGAGTGTTCTTTTTCTTTGGTTTTGAAACGTGTTAGATATATAAACTAATTTTGAAGTGTAGCTTTAACTTTCAGTTATCTCTTGAGGAAAATCCGAACACAAATCCTGTGTGTCAAATACAAATATGCTTCTCTATACAATAGCTAAATTTTGTTAGAGTCTCTTTGTTTTTTGTCCGTTAGAAAATTCAATGGTCTTTTAAGTTTGATGTAACGGCCATGTGCTGCACTAAAGTTGTTTGATGAGTCTTAACGGTATCATAATGAGTCAGTTTTGGGTAGTATAATGAGTCATTAAGTTAGAGTTTATTTGGGTGTAATGTGTCTCTTAATGTTATGTTTTTCAGTTTTAGTTTCTGGTTTATATTAAGTTTGAGTCAGTTTATGAAATTTGTATTCCCTCTTCAAACATTGTGAGTTATATTTCTGCATCTTAATTTTTCTCTATCAGTGGTATCAAGAGCCAGGTTGAGAGTTAAACACGTGAGGGAATTGAGTTGTGAAAAAAGAGTAAAGTGAAGAGTCATGGCCACAGATTCTAATTTTGTGCAAGCAGCCCTTCCACGTTTCGATGGTCATTATGATCATTGGAGCATGTTGATGGAGAATTTCCTTCGATCCAAGGAATATTCGGATGTAGTTACTAATGGTGTTGTTGAACCAGCACTAGCAGAAGGAGCTCAGTTGACAGCAGAACAACGAGCAGCTCATGAAGCAGTAAAGTTGAAGGATTTGAAGGCGAAGAATTATCTCTTCCAGGCCATTGACCGTTCTATCTTGGAAACCATTCTTTCCAAAGAAACTTCCAAGGATATTTGGGACTCCATGAAAAAGAAGTATCAAGGCTCTGCAAGAGCAAAGAGGCAGCAGCTTCAAGCTTTACGCTCGGAATTCGAAACACTTCGAATGAAGTCGGGAGAATCAATTGCAGATTATTTCTCTCGCGTGATGACCATTGTCAATAAAATGCGAATTCATGGAGGCAGGATAGAAGAAATAATTGTCATAGAAAAAATTCTTCGATCATTAACAGCAAAATTTAACTTTGTTGTTTGTGCTATAGAAGAATCTAAAGATATAGATGATTTGTCACTTGATGAATTGCAGAGTTCATTGGTGGTGCATGAACAGAAGTTCAAACAGGAAGACACAGATGAGCAAGCATTAAAGGCTTCTACCGATACTCGTTCCAACAATTTTCAAGGAAGGGGTAGAGGTAGAGGCAGAGGTAGAGACAGAGGCAGAGGCAGAGGAAGGTCTACTAATTTCAGAGCCAATAATGATCAATTTCAAGGCAGAGGCAGAGGCAGAGGAGGAGCCCCTGATAAATCCAAGGTAGAATGTTTCAGGTGTCATAAATTTGGTCATTATCAATCTGAATGTTATACTAAGCTGCCAAATAGCAAAGAAAAAGGAGAAAGTTCAAACTTTGCAGAAAAGGAGGAAGGTGAAACCTTATTGATGGTTGCTAAAGATGAAAAGCAAATTGAGCCAGATGTTTGGTATGTGGATACTGGCTGTAGCAACCACATGAGTGGTAGTAAGTCTTCTTTCTCTCATCTGATTGAAAATTTTCAATCTACTGTGAGTTTTGGTGATCATTCTACTGTGAAAGTAATGGGAAAAGGTGACATTAAAATAAAAACCAAGAATGGTTTTGTGGAAACAATATCTAATGTATTGTATGTTCCTGATTTGAAAAGTAATTTATTGAGTGCTGGCCAATTACAAGAAAAGGGTTATGTGATCACTATTAAAAATGGTGTTTGTGAAATATATGATTCTGTTAGAGGTGCTATTGCTGTTATTCAGATGAGTTCAAACAGATTGTTTCCATTAAAGATTGAAGGAATCCAATCTAGTTTAATGGCTGAAATGAAAGATCCTTCATGGTTGTGGCATTTTCGCTATGGCCATTTGAGCTTTGGTGGGTTGAAGACGCTCCAACAGAAAAATATGGTGACAGGCCTCCCTCAAATCACAATTCCTCATTCCTTAGTATGTGAAGAATGTGTTGTTAGCAAACAACATCATTCTGAATTTGCAAAAGGGAACTCATGGAGAGCAAAGAGAATTTTGCAATTGGTGCATTCAGACATTTGTGGTCCAATAAATCCAATTTCTAATGGAGGTAAAAAATATTTAATTACCTTCATTGATGATTTTTCTAGAAAAACGTGGGTTTATTTTTTACCGGAAAAGTCATAAGCTTTCTCTACATTTAAAAATTTCAAAGCTCGTGTGGAGAATGAGACAGGAAGGATGATTCAGACACTTCGCACAGATCGTGGTGGTGAATATTGCTCAAAAGAATTTGAAGCTTTTTGTGAAGAACATGGCATCCGAAAAGAGCTTACAACTGCGTATACACCACAACAAAATGGTGTATCAGAGAGGAAGAATAGAACCATCCTCAACATGGTTAGAAGCTTGTTGGTAAGAGGAAGAGTTCCAAAGACGTTTTGGCCAGAAGTAGTAAACTGGTGTATTCATGTCTTGAACAGAAGTCCAACCTTTGCAGTTCGAAATATGACGCCAGAAGAGGCTTGGAGTGGGAGAAAACCAAATGTGGATCACTTTAGAATTTTTGGATGCATCGCATATGCTCATGTCCCGGAACAGAAAAGAAAAAAACTTGATGACAAGGCTGAAAAATGTGTCTTTCTAGGTGTAAGTGATACATCTAAAGCATATAAATTATTTAATCCACTGACGAAAAAAATTGTGGTTAGCAGGGATGTTGTTTTTGACGAAGAAAACACTTGGGATTGGAATATGCAGCAGCCTACCGAAGTTCTTTGTGATATTGATTCTGAACAAGAGCAAATTTCAGCATCTAGTATGCCTGAAAATTCGTCCATTGCAACTTCTTCAGCTAGTCAATCCTCACCAACAGTAGTTGGAGTTAACGAAGAAGAAACTCAATCTCTTCGTCGTGTTAGAAGAAGGCCTACTTGGATGGAAGATTATGAGGTAACTGGAATTGAAGATCCAATTACTCACTTTGCTTTGTTTTCAGAATGTGATCCCGTGACTTTTGAGAGTGCTGTCAAAGAAGAAAAATGGCGAAAAGCAATGGATGCTGAAATTGATGCAATTGAGAGGAATGATACTTGGGAGTTAACTGATCTTCCAAATTGACACAAAATCATTGGTGTGAAGTGGGTGTTTAAAACAAAGTTAAAGGAAAATGGTGAAATTGACAAGCACAAAGCACGCTTGGTTGTCAAGGGGTACAAGCAACAATATGGGATTGATTATACAAAAGTTTTTTCTCCTGTTGCGAGACATGATACAATCAGGTTGGTGGTTGCATTGGCTGCACAAAATTCTTGGCCTATTTACCAGCTAGATGTCAAATCAACATTCTTGCATGGGTACTTAGAGGAACAAATATTTATTGAACAACCCCCTGGTTATGAGAAAGTTGGAAATGAGCATAAAGTTTACAAATTGAAAAAGGCACTTTATGGACTAAAACAAGCCCCTCGAGCTTGGTATAGTCGCATTGAGTCTTATTTTCTTAAGGCTGGTTTTATAAAGTGTCCTTATGAACATACACTCTTTGTTAAGATTGGTGATGAAGGAAAAATGCTTATTGTTTGCTTATATGTAGATGATCTTATATTCACTGGAAATTGTGATGTTATGTTTGAAGAATTTAAAAAGTCTATGATGAATGAGTTTGAAATGACTGATCTTGGTATGATGCATTACTTTCTTGGCATAAGTGTAGCACAATCAAGTGATGGAATTTTTATTTCTCAAAATAAATATGTGGAAGATATTCTAGACAGGTTTCAGATGAAGGATTGTAATCCTGTGCACACTCCAGTTGAATGTGGCTTGAAGTTACATAAAGATCATGGAGGAAAGAAGGTTGACAGCACCTTCTACAAACAAATTGTGGGAAGTTTGATGTATCTCACTGCAACAAGACCAGACATAATGTATTCTGTGAGTTTAATTAGCAGGTATATGGAAAATCCTACAGAAATACATTTGTTGGCTGCCAAGAGAATCCTTCGCTACTTGCAAGGAACAAGAACTTTCGGGATATTTTACAAGAAGGGTGTAAAATCTGATTTAGTGGGATTTACTGACAGTGATTATGCAGGAGATCAAGATGACAGGAAGAGCACATCAGGTTATGTTTTTATGATTGGTACAGGTGCTATTTCTTGGGCATCGAAGAAGCAACCAATTGTCACTTTGTCAAGCACAGAAGCTGAATTTGTTGCTGCTACAGCTTGTGCATGCCAAGCCATTTGGCTAAGGAGAATTCTTGAAGAACTTCACTTCAAGCAAGAAGGAGCAACTTTAATTTATTGTGACAATAATTCTGCAATTAAATTGTCAAAGAATCCAATTTTACATGGGAGAAGCAAGCATATAGATGTGAAGTATCATTTCTTAAGGGATCTTACAAAGGCTGGTATAATTGATCTTATTTTTTGTAGAAGTGAGGATCAAGTTGCTGATTTGTTTACAAAGCCTCTCAAATATGTTGTGTTTCAAAAGCTCAGGGGATTACTTGGCATATGTTCCATGGAGAAAGTCAAAGGAATTGGAGTAAACTGAATTTTTCAAGAACATCAGTTTAAGGGAGGGAATGTTAGAGTCTCTTTGTTTTTTGTCCGTTAGAAAATTCAATGGTCTTTTAAGTTTGATGTAACGGCCATGTGCTGCACTAAAGTTGTTTGATGAGTCTTAACGGTATCATAATGAGTCAGTTTTGGGTAGTATAATGAGTCATTAAGTTAGAGTTTATTTGGGTGTAATGTGTCTCTTAATGTTATGTTTTTCAGTTTTAGTTTCTGGTTTATATTAAGTTTGAGTCAGTTTATGAAATTTGTATTCCCTCTTCAAACATTGTGAGTTATATTTCTGCATCTTAATTTTTCTCTATCAAATTTTACCGTTGACGAGAGGAGTTGTAATTTTTTTTTTTTTGGTAACATGAGGAGTTGTAAATTTATTATGAAGGTGAGAGGTTCAAAATCTAAAAACTATCGCATAATGTTGTGACATAAGAATTATATTTATTCCGTTGGTGATTTAATCGTCGGTGTCTGGTCGTATATATGAACCAAGCCAAACAGTCTATAAATATAATATTATACATATTTCGCGAATAAATATAATATTCGTATTGTTAGTTTATTATTTTGATTTTCTAGTTCTAAATACTATAATTCTTTTTTTATAATTAATACTCCATCATTATTGGGCAAACTTAATTACCTTATTCTATCAACATTCCTGAAACAAACATCAGCTTCACGTACTCTCTTGTAATCCTTTTGAATATACCTACAGGCTACAACCTTATTCTATTTTCATTGTTGTTTTTTTAAAAAGAATTTGTTCCCTTAAATCCTATTATCTCTTATTCCCCCTTCTTTTCTCAAGGCATGCATGGGAAAGAGTTTAATATAGCATTGAGTATGACTAAAACAAATCGTCTAAAATATTATATTTAAAAAGCCTAAATGATAAACATGTAAGCAACGATTTCACCAAACAACTGAAACCGGTAATGATGAACCTTCAATAAGTTTTATATATTTCTGTAACACACTCTTTTGTAAGAATCTTTTGGATTTGATGCATAGACAATGCATTAGGTTCGTACATATGCTGATTTAATTTTATTAGAGAACAAGGGACAATAAGAATCGAACTCGTAACTCCAGATATATAATATATATATATATATATATATATATATATATATATATATATATATATATATATATATGGGAAGGGTTCTTTTGACTCCAGAGTAATCAAACTCTTCATATCAGCCGTTGATGAACGATAATCAATGGTTGTCATTTATAGTATAATTAATAATTAATTAATTAATATAACTTCTTAAATTACAACCGTTAGATAGACAGAAATCAATGGCTAGGATGAGGAGTAAGAATTATAAGTCTTACTCTGGAGTCAAATGATCTCTCTCCTATATATATATATATATATATATATATTTGTAATATTTACGGAGGCTCTAGTATTATGATAAATAATTATCTCATCTTACAACTTAAGATGATAAGTAATAGCCTTCAACTAATATTAAATTATATTTCTCTAACGAGATTACCGTCTGTTTGATTAGGCGCAGATCCCCGTCTGTTTGATTAGGCGCAGATCGAGATGTTCAATCTAATTAGGATTGGTTGATTTCTATAGAATCTATATGTCATCTCTCAAGTATCTATAGGGGAGATACTTCAAAGACTAGCGGATCACAGTGCAAGTAGTCAGGACGGATGTGTACACAGTGACAGCTAACAAGAAAGAGTAAGTCACATACTTGTTGGTTTTACCTCTTATTTATAAAGTTTAGTCATTGATATATTTTGGGGGTCCAATAATACTTGATCCACTGATGATATAATATGATTAATATCTTTTGAAAATCTTTCATTATTTCTCTTTTAACTATCTGCTCTTGTTGGATCTTCTAGAATATGGGTCCTTAGGCCCGTAACACCGTCATACTAAGCAAATTACATTAATGCGAACTTTCATCGGAAAATATTTTCTCATTTTAAAGGAGAAAATTTTTCTTATGTTAGTGACTCATAATATAAGTGGGGTCCACAAAATAGTGGAGAGAAAAAAAGTTTCAAGGTGGGACCCACTTATGTTATGAGTTACTAACATGAGAAAAAATTTCTCCTTTAAAAGGAGAAAATGTTTTCCCATCTTTCTTATATTGATTCCATATGAAATTTATTTTCTGTTCTATCATTGTGCTTTCTATTGACAAAGAAGGAACCTTACCTGTCTAAGAACATTTTCTCCATCTACTATTCCCCCAGCAACACCTGCGTTGTTCACCTGCACCAATATTATTTCAAACATATTTACATTCACCAAATAAATGAAATAATAAAAAAGTTATGGTTCTTAATTTGTCCTTTAAGAATTTGAAGCCCATTGGTTCCAAATGGAAAAACTCTCTTAACAAATCGAAAGAAGGGAATGAAAGTGTCCTATGATACCAAGATGTCAAGTTTCCCAAATTTAGTTTTGATAAAATCTGCTAAAGAAGCAACACTGGCAGGGTCAGTGACATCAAGTTGATGAAAAACCAGAAAGTCTGAGAGACCAAACTCTTTCAAATTTTCCATGGCTTCCAAACCCCTTTTCTCATTTCTAGCAGTAAGCACCACCACAATACCAATTGAAGCCAATTTCTTGCATATTCCATAACCAATCCCCTTATTAGCTCCTGTCACTACCGCAAACCTAATTAAGAAAGTGAATACCCCGTTAGCTGCTGAGAAGTGCCACAACTTTTTATTTACTATTAAATTTATATTTCGGTTTGTACATGATTATAATAAAAAATTTCAGCATAGATTTATATATGCATGGGATACGATATTCTTGCTACAAAATAATGTTACTAGCAATATTACTACCATATATTAACAGTTGATTTCCATCAATCAACGGTTATTATTTTCATAAATTAAACTCATAATTAATTATTAATTTGCAATAAATGATAACCGTTGATTGACAGAAATCAACGGTTAAGATATGGTAATCATATTGGTACTAACATTATTTGGTAGTAACAATATTATATCTCTTTATATATAACCTAATAGCCTTTTTTTTTTAGGTTTACGGGTATTATTTTCAGCTTTTATTCTTCTTAAAAACATAAGTTTAGCTAAACATAATTCTATAAAAACTCTTGTAATAAATAAATAAATAAAAGTTTGGAATCATTATATTATTTTCTAATTTTATCCTTATTCTATTTATCTTTTACCCTAATATTGACAAATCATTCTGTGTCCCCTATTCAAAATCCTATGAATATCATCAAAATTTTATATAATTACTAAATAACTTTTAACTTTATTTTTAATTTTTTTTTTTTAAATAGTTTTAAAAGTAACATTTTTTTTTGGGTTCGTTTTTTCTTCAGTTACTGCAGATAAGTTATCTGCAGTAAGCCCAATACGATGTCGTTTTGAGACGAAAATCATGATGTTTTTATAATTTTAATTTATTTTAAGGTTATAATAGTCTTTATATTTATAATTTTTTAACATTTCAATACCAAACCGACGTCGTTTTGGAAAAAATACAGATAACTTATCTGCAGAAACATTTATCCCTTTTTTTTATATAAAAAAGTAACTTTTAACTTAAAATAACATATCAAACAAACAAGCTGTGAGTATGAGATTAATGATCACACTCCTAACATTATGAAAACTCCTTAACCTGAATTCAAGTTTTCAGATATATTCTATAATTAAAACCTTGAAAAAGAAAAAAGAAAAAAGAAAAACACAAAAAAAAACACAAACATTTTGGGAGTATCATTTCTCTATACCTTTTTCCTTCTTCTCCCATTTGATGATCTCTTGTTTCTTTCCTCGCTTGTGGTGAATGCACGGTATGAGATGGTTTTGGACTGTTTTATCAGCAAAATATTAGCCTCTAAATTCTTTTTATAGAGAAACTGCTAGCTCATTTATTGATCTTGTTACTTTTTTTAAAATTACAAAGAGGCATGTACATAGAAAATTGGGCAACATTATATAAAATATGTTCTCCGTACACAATAATTGGATCATTACGAAACCATATATATTGCGAGAAACGAATAACGATAAATTAAACTGAAAACTGATAATTGTGTTTAGTGGTCCCCAATGAAAATCAATTAGTTATGACTACATCTCTATTTTTAGCCGTACAGGGACCAATATGGATCATGTTAAAAAAAAATGATGTGGTTACGTGAGACAATTATAACCATATAAAGGTGAATAAAAGATTATGATGTAGTAACTACCTATTTTAATATTTTTTTACTTTCCTATTTTATCACCATTGATCCACCTTTGTATGCTTATGATTCTCAAATAACCATGTCATGTAATTTTCAATATGAGAGGATCCATTTCCGATCAATAAATAATTGTAAATTATTATTATTTAACAATAAATAATTGTAAATTATTATGCATATAAAATTATAAAGATTTGATTAAATAGTGTTTAGAAAGTAATATGATTGGTGTAATATATTAAAAGAATGAGTAGCGGTCTTGCTAGGCAAAAAAATTAATTTATTGCATTTTAAATAAAAAAATTATGAATTTGTTGCTATTTTGAAAATAATTACGCATGTATTGCACAATGTCACGCCCAAATTGGGCGTCACAGGTCACGCCCATGTAGGCGTCACCTCCACGTGGGTCACGCCTAAATAGGGCGTGACTTGTGATGCTCAATTTGGTAGTGACACATGCAAATATGAAGCCCAACAAGGGCGTGAATGGTGCAAAAATATCTATATAAACCCTTATCACTCTATACACTCTTCACAACTCTTCTCTACCATCAAGTCTTACATTTACATACAAAATTATTAGCTTAAATATAGTCTTTTATTTTATTTGTTATTCCATTTTAAAATGAGTTCACATTCTGATTATGTTCATGTTGTGTTATATTACAATGGTAGGAAGGTGGAAGGACGACGAAGTGTAATGTTTGAAGGTGAAAAAAGGATGACACGTATCAAAAGCAACTCAATAATTGACGAAATGCATCAGAGAATTCGTCAGAAGTTAACTCTTCAAGGTAACCAATGTATCACTCAAATCACCACGAGGTTATGGCAATCTGAACAATACATTAATTTGCAAATGGTGGATGATGAAGACGTCGAGATGATAATGAAAGAATTTTTCAACAAGTCAAGGAAAGATTTTTTGGAGTTGTATGTGGACATTGTCGGAGCAGAGGAAGTAGTTTTATCAGTGAGGTCAGTTGCTTTAAATTCTCCAAATCATGCATCTGTGAAACTAGTTGTGTCTCATGTGTAACGTGTGTCAATTGGTTTAATTAATAATAAAAGAGGCTTTATGGTAATTGACGTTTCGCATTAATGATAATTGACGTTTTAACGTTTTGCATTATGGTAACGTTTCGCATTAATGATAATTGATGTTTTAACGTTTTGCATTATGGTAACGTTTCGCATTAATGGTAATTGACATTTTGACGTTTCGCATTAAGGGAAGTTAATTAGAAATAACTGTGATAGGCCAGTTATATAATAGTTTATATGGTCAGTTTTCACATAAGGGTATCTGATAGAAAACAAACGTCCTTCTGAGTCTGCCTAGAAAAGTTGTATCCTATCCCTATCAAAGAAGGTACAAGAACGGTGAAAGGGTTAAGGCTTAGAGAAAGCATTCTACTGTTAAAGATCTTCCGCAATTATGGAGAAAGGTATGTTTGTGTGAAACTCATGAATTCTAAAGATCCTATGTCATGTTCTTGACTGATTACTGTTGAACACGAATCATGAATTACTGATTAAATTGCTTACATGTGGTATCAGAGCATGTGTTTAAGAATTTGTGTTTTTCCATAAATAATTATGAATGCATTTCTGATACATGAAAAGTCATATAAAATTAAACACCAAAGAAAAACTTGATTTCCAAAAGTCAATACATTTTGGAAATTAGGAAATGAATATTAAAGAAGTATCATTATTACTAATTAAGCACATCATCATTACAGCGACATAAATAGACTTGGAAAATAAATATATGCATAGTCGGCAACTGGAAACAAGTTCATACCATGCATCCCCAGGGATTATTTTTGTAAATCAGAAGATAAACGATAAGTATATATATTTCTAATGGAAGGACCACTAATGGACCCTCTAGGCCACCGTAGAAAACACCTACCAATTGATGAAAGTGCTGAAAGTCATGTAAGTTTAGAATACTGCAGGATAGTACTCCTTCTGGCCTCATATTTTTTATTTTATAAACCACATTTACCTTTCACATGACGTAATCTCGTACGAGTCGAGAACATTCACATTATAATAGAGCTAATTCTTTAAAGAATTTTTTTTGCATTCACAAAGACTTAAATCCAATATCTTACTTAAACGAAATCAAATATGTACTACTTGAACCAATGAAACCAACACCTTTTTATGATCGTGACTTTTCTAAAAAAATATTGAATTGTAGGTATCATTCAAAATTTTATAAAATCACGTCTTGGATAAGTAACTATATTGAATGTTCTTCTTGTACTGCCATAACATTTGTCTAATACAAGGAGATCCCCATTACTAATTTGAATTTTGAGCACCGGGAAAGCTCCAACAGTTTAGACTATAATCAACAATGTTCCTTAACTTATATGTTTGTTGTTCGGTTCAAAATAGAGCGTATGACAACCTGGGTTAACAAAAGATACAGTCTTGGCAACACAAATCAAGCTAAACAACTTAGACAAAAAGAACAGCAAGATACATCATTAAAGCATAATAAAAGCTGAAATGGAAATGGCCATAAAGGCCGAGGTTAAACTCGAGAATATTCTCAAGTTTAATCTACTTTACAACACATAAAGAATATCAAGCCCCCATCAAAGGAAAACATGCAGAGCAACACAAGAATGCCAAGCAATGTCAATGCCAAGCAATGTCAATTAAGGGATGGACCTAGACATGTCCGAGGTGCAAGAAAAACATTATAAACGGCAACCTGAACACTCAAATTATCAAACTCTGGGCAACTATTTTGGACCCACTCTGTGGGCTCATATCTTAATAATATAACAACAAGTGGTAGATTAAATAGATAAGGATAATCTCATGGTCCTATCACTAAGGGATAAAAGATAAAACAATTTATCATATCTCCAATAGTCCCAATCCTATCAGGACTCTATACTTACTGGTAATCCTTTCTATAAATAAAGGGTTAAGTCTCTCAGGTACACACTCGGAATTCCCTTCTCTCTTATCTATTATCTGTGTGCATACACCTCATGTCTTATACGTCTATGGTTAGTGTGCACTTATTGATACATTGACTATGTGCCCATACAATATCTCCCTGATAGATATCCTTGAGCGCAAAAATCCCATATTAATCTATCACCTACGTGTGAATATTAATGGTCTACCCAAGAATAGGTTACTCAGAAGTAATAGACAGAACAATTCAAATCATAAATAACAAACCATAGCTTTCTCCTATATGCTGTGGAAAGAACATTATCGTGAATCTCTGCAATTTTCCATAACAAGCTCATGAAAATTCCCTCCATTTATGTGTCACGTGGCACGTTCTATTCTTCTCCTAATGCATGAACCTTTAAAACGTTAACTCTGAAATTTTACAGAAAACTCAAACTCGCCCTCATATTCATATTCATCAAGTATCCCTGCATACCTTTTTTTGATATAAATACAACTCTTGCTCATTCCAAATTGAGAATGTTATTGTGCGGCAGAGCGCTAATTCCTCCTTTCATTTTTAAAATAATTGTTAATTTTAGTTTTATTTATCACTTCAAAAAAAGTTAAAAGACATTTGAATTTGATAGTTTGGGATTAGATCGATCTGCTTTCCTCTACAAGTGTAGTATATATATCAATGTAATGGTAATAAAGTGAGGTACTGCTATAGACTAAAGCTCAACAATGTAGTCACCATATAGGTTTCAAGCAGATACTAAGAATTAGAGGGAGGTGAAGGGTAAGATGGGAGACTGAAATTCAACAAAGTAACAACAATGATGAATGGAAAGTGTAATTTAACATCATCATGTCATTTAAGAGAATCTTAATCATTAATAATTAAATTAATGGTGATGATTGAGTAACTTTCTATCTTTATATTTTTTCTCTCTCCTTCCTTGACACCGTTAATTCACTCAAATATGATTATGATTGTCCCACATAACATGATCATGTTAATTAGCACACGAGAGAGAATGCACTCTCACAACGAATAGTGTGTAAAAGGTGTGAGTCATATTTTTCTGCCATGGTGGGCCCCATTGTGAGTGAATCAGGTGTAATGAAGGAGTATTTATCCTACTGTAGGGATGCAGAAGTTCAACCTGATGCAGTACAAACTCGTTCAACTACTGGATGTCAACCCAAGTTACCCGTTTGGCATAAGGATTACATCTGATAAGTCAGTTCCGGAAGTTTAGGAGAAGAAGTTAGAGTTGGTTGCATTTGGAAAAGTAGTTAGCCTTAGTTACTAGATGATTAAATGTAATAGGATAGATATAAAAGGAGTGCTTGTATTCAATGGTGGATATGAATTGTATAATAAAGTTCTCTTTCTTGTTACGTAACTGATCTCTCTTTCTCTGAGATTGCATCACTGGTGCTTTCATTGTTCTTGAACTCCGCCACCATGCGAGTACAGGATTTAGCAGAGGAATTGGCAAACACTCGTGCTGAAATTCATCAGCATATCAACCAATTGACAGAAGCAATGGAAACTCGTCTTACAAATTTTTTCGAGTTACGTTTTAATGCCATTGATTCTCGAATTCGCGATTTTCCGTCACCGACTATACCTCCTCCTCCTCCGGTGAATCACAACCACCAACAACCGAATATGAATGGTGCTGGCCACGAGCAACGCATCGCCTTGCGTTCCATTAAAATGGAGATTCCATTATTTGAAGGCAAGAACCCTCATTTATGGATCTTTAAATGTGAGATGTTCTTTAGGATCCAACAAATTCCTGAGGAACTGAAGGTCGAACTTGCTGGCTTACGAATGGAGGGAGCAGCAGCTTCATGGTTTCAATGGATCCATAATAGTGGTACGGTTCAACACTGGGATCAGTTCACCTTAGTCGTTCGTCAGCGTTTTGGTGGTGATTCGTACACTGACATGCGTGGTGCACTTTCCAAGTTATCACAGGTTGGCTCTTTGACAGATTATGTGCGCGATTTCGAAATCTTGATGAACCAGGTCCCTGGTTTACCTGATGATCTGCTCTTGAGTTTTTTTGCATCCGGATTGAGTCTTGAGCTTCGACGTGTGATTCAATTACATGAACCCAAGACCTTGCATCAAGCAATACAATTGGCGTTCACGTATGATGCTCATCATCGTGATCTACGTTCTTCTTTTTCTAATCCCGCACGAAAGTCCAACTCGCGTTACGTTCCTTCACCTTCACCACAATCAGTATCAACAGTTGATGGTCCAACTCATGTTGCACCAACAGCAAATTCCTTGACAGTCAAGCGATTACCACCTGAAGAAGCCAAGAAACGAAGAGAGCTTGGCCTATGCTTTTCTTGTGAAGAAAAATGGTCCATAGGTCATCGTTGCAAATCAAAAATGCTCTTGTTAATTGGTGATGGGGATGATCAGGATGTTGAGCCTGATGAGGAAATAGTGTGGCAGTCGAATGAGATGCCTCAAACGTTACAAGAAGCAGCACTCAATGCCCTTTCAATGAGTTCAATGTCGAAATTGCTGCAGTTCATCGCGCGTGTAGGCACGGGTGATGTTAGGGTTATGGTGGATTCTGGTAGCTCCCATAATTTCATCCAGAAACATGTAGCTATTCAGTTGGGACTTCCAATATCCCAATCTCGTAGCATGAAGGTAATTCTTGGTAATGGTGAATTTATGTTGTGCAATATGAAATGTTTGGCTGTTTCATTACAAATTCAAAGTTTCAAATGCTGTGTTGATCTTTGGATTTTGGATCTTAAAGATTTGCATATTATTCTGGGTATGCCATGGCTTGAATCATTGGGCAAGGTTGTACATAATTATGTTGATCTGTCTATGGAATTTTCTCACAATGGCCAAGTGGTGCAGTTAAAGGCCATTACAGACGCTAAGTCTTTTAATTCCAATTGCCTCTCATTGGTTTCTGAGGAATCTGCAGCAGATCATATCTCAGATGAGATTATGAATTTGAAAACCTTGGTACAGCAGGACATTTGGCAGGTTATAGCCAAGTTTCATTCGGTTTTTTCCATCCCTCAATCACTGCCGCCTTTTCAGAGTATTGACCATTCCATCCACTTGATTGAGAACTCCAAACCGGTAAATGTGAAACCATACCGTTATGGCCATTCCCAGAAAGCTGAAATTGAGAAACAAGTCCAGGGTTTGTTGGCTGCTGGTTATATACGCTCAAGCACCAGTCCCTACTCATCCCCTGTTTTACTGGTGAAGAAGAGTGATGGCTCTTGGCGTATGTGCATCGACTACAGAGCACTTAACGCCATAACAATTCGAGACTGCTTCCCTATCCCAACAATAGACGAGCTGTTGGACGAACTTTGCCATGCCTCCATCTTCTCGAAGCTTGACCTACGCGCAGGGTATCATTAGATAAGGGTCACTGATTCTGATATCCTTAAGACAGCCTTCCGAACCCATGACGGCCATTACGAATTTCTGGTAATGCCGTTTGGTTTAACAAACGCGCCATCAACATTTCAATTGGCCATGAACAGTATTTTTCGTCCTTATCTTCGTAAATTCATAATTGTTTTTTTTGACGATATCCTAGTATTTAGCAGGTCCATTGATGAGCATTTTTCCCATTTGGGTACCACATTGGAGTGCTTGCAGCACCATCAATATTTTGTTAAACTTTCCAAATGCTCGTTTGTTGTGTCTGAGATTGATTATCTTGGTCATGTTGTATCTGCTTCGGGCGTCCAAGCTGACCCAAAGAAAATTGCAGCGATGGTGTCTTGGCCACAACCCATGTCGGTGAAAGCTCTACGTGCATTCCTGGGATTAACAGGATATTACCGCCGTTTTGTTAAAGGGTATGCAGCTATTGCAACCCCTTTGACTAACCTGTTAAGCTCTGACAAATTCATCTGGTCTACCGATGCTGATATTGCCTTCTCTACTTTGAAAGAAGCCATGACCACTACTCCAATATTGTCCTTACCAGATTTCACCTTGCCATTTATTGTGGAATCCGATGCATCCTCATCTAGCATTGGAGCTGTCCTCCTGCAGCTTGGAAAGCCCATTGCTTTTTTTAGCAAGAAGTTGGGTTTCCGTATGGTCTCCGCAAGCACTTATGTACGGGAGTTATATGCCATTGTAGAAGCTGTGAAGAAATGGCGCTCGTATCTGCTTGGGGCTCCTTTCGTAATTCGCACAGACCATCAGAGTATTCGTGAGATATTATCTCATACTATTCAAACTCCTGAGCAGCAGAAATACGTTTCTAAACTCATGGGTTACTCTTTCACGGTGGAGTATAAGCCAGGGTCTTCGAATGTCATTGCTGATGGCCTTTCTCGTCAACATGAATCCTTGCTGATTGGTTCTTGTTGTGTTGCTGTATCAGAACCTTCTTTCGAAATCTTGGAGCAAATTGCTGCGGAGAATCACATGGCATCAGACCTTTTGGATATGCATCATCGCATTTCAACGGGTCAGAAGCTACATCCTTTTATCTCTTGCAAGAATGGAATTCTGTTCCATAAAAAACGATTCTTGCTTAGTTCCACTTCTGTATTACGGCCCACTCTTTTACATGAGGCCCATTGCTCATTGGTTGGGGGCCATGCTGGAGTCCTTCGAACATTCTTACGACTCTCTACCAATTTCTTTTGGACTGGTATGAAAGATGATGTTCGGGCCTTTGTGCAGCAATGTCCTACGTGCCAAGCTATTAAACCAGTGAACACAGCTCCAAGTGGTTTACTACATCCACTTCCCATACCTGAAGGCACTTTTGAAGACCTGACCCTGGACTTCATCACGGGTCTTCCAGCTTCGCGAGGCTTGACTGTGATCCTGGTAGTCGTAGATCGTTTCACCAAGTATGCTCACTTTGGAGCATTGCCCACTAAGTTCACTGCTGTGTTGGCTACTCAGTTGTTCTCCGATATGGTCATTAAACTACATGGGTTTCCACGCTCATTAGTTTCTGATCGTGACAGTGTATTCCTCAGCCGATTTTGGCAGCAACTTTTTACCTTGAGTGGAACGAAGCTCAAGATGAGCTCTGCCTACCATCCCCAAACGGATGGGCAGAGTGAGGTCACCAACAGGTACCTGGAACAGTACCTTCAGGCCTATTGCCATGAAAAAAACAATGCTTGGGTTTCGCTTTTATCTTGGGCTGAGCTCCATTATAATACAGCAACCCACTCTTCAATTCAAATGTCACCGTATCAAGCCCTGTATGGTAAGCCTCCACCATCCATTCCTTTTTATCCTCGTGGTTTGGCCAGTGTTGCTGCGGTTGACAATATCTTATCTGAGCGTAATGAGCTGCTTAGTTCTTTGAAACGCAATTTATCGCGTGCTCAACAACGCATGAAGTTGTTATCCGACAAGCACCGTGTTGATCGTACTTTTCAAGTGGGTGACTTGGTCTTGTTGAAGCTTCAACCTTACCGCCAAGTCTCAGTGCTTCGTCGTGCTAACCATAAATTGTCGAAGCGTTTTTATGGGCCATCCCCTGTGGTTGCTGTCTTAAGTCCAGTTTCTTACTGTTTGAGACTCCCTGATGGGTGTAGAATTCACCCTACCTTTCATGTTTCGGTGCTTAAGAAATTTTACGGGCCTGCAAACACTTTGGCCGCTGAATTGCCACTGGATGTCATTGATAACAGACCAGTTCAACAACCTTTAGCAATATTGGCTAAACGTTCGGTGGGACAACGCCGTCGCCAAACACAATTACTGGTCCAGTGGTCACATTCTACTGTCGAGGAGGCTTCGTGGGAGTTTGAGCATGATTTTCGTCTTGCATATCCTCATTTTGACCTTAAGGACAAGGTCCCTGTGATTGGGGGGAGTAGTGATGCAGTACAAACTCGTTCAACTACTGGATGTCAACCCAAGTTACCCGTTTGGCATAAGGATTACATCTGATAAGTCAGTTCCGGAAGTTTAGGAGAAGTTAGAGTTGGTTGCATTTGGAAAAGTAGTTAGCCTTAGTTACTAGATGATTAAATGTAATAGGATAGATATAAAAGGAGTGCTTGTATTCAATGGTGGATATGAATTGTATAATAAAGTTCTCTTTCTTGTTACGTAACTGATCTCTCTCTCTCTCTGAGATTGCATCACAACCCTTGTTATTTGCCTAGTGGCTGGCCTAGAGTACAAGACCTAGTGCACGGTCCAAAAGGACAATAAATATTTGTCTCTTTTAGTGTTTTTTATTTTATTTTTGAAGATTAAAAAAAATTAGTGTTTTTAATAAGTGAAATTACAAAGAACAATAATGTAATAAGAATATAATTTAATCAAAAATAGTTATATTTTATTTATTCTGAAGTTATATAAATGGTTGTCTTAATACTCAATGTAGCGTGCGTCAGTGTCTAAGACCTATGTAGCACCGATACTGACACGGAACACGTGAAACGATACGACACGACACTCCGACACGTTAATTCTAAAAAATATTAGATTTCGACACGTTTTGATATTAAATAATATTTTTAATTTATGTAGTGTATATTATATTTAATATTCAATAATTTAACAAAAAAATGACACTAAACTTATAATATTCATCAATTTTGCAAAGAAACATAAGATATCCCAAATATTTATATTAAATTCAATAAAATGATAATCGTAATCCAACGCATCTAATAGTTGGAACTAAAAACTCAATGCAACTTTTGAATCTTTTTTTGAATTTCTATAATGCGTGTTGGAGTGTCGGTCGAAAAATATTGAAAAATATCGGACCCGACAAGTCAAGATTTTTAAAGTATCGGTTCTTCATAGTCTAAGACTAGTGAGACCACGTGACACGCCAAGCATCTATTCTGGTAAAGGGCAAATGTGCAAAGAAAGCAAATGTGCAAGAAGGGTTGGGCTAAGGCCTAATCACCCCACTATATAATCAGACAATCGTTTGGGTTTCTTTAACCCCTTTCTATCCCTATTCCCTCAGTCCAATATAGCCACTGGTGGATTAACAACACCTGGGCTGGTAGCAGTAATTGGGCTCGTTACAGCAACAGTTGCTGGTTTCACGAGTAGCTTTCCTTTTAACCACAAATGACTCGGTTCAAACCCAGTAGCTATATAGCACCGATATCCACACGGGATATGATATGACACGACATTCTGACACGTTAATTCTAAAAAATATTATATTTCGATATGTTAGAACACATTTTGATATTAAATAATACTTTTAATTTATGTAGTGTATATTATATGTGATATTCAATAACTTAACCAAAAAATGAAGTTAAACTTATAATAGACATCAATTTTGCAAAGAAACATACGATAACCCAAATATTTATATTAAACTCAATAAAATAGTAATCGTAATCCAACAAATCTAATAGTTGGAGCTAAAAATGCAATGCAACGCACTCTTTGAATCTTTTTTGAGTCTCTACAACTCGTGTTGGAACATCGGGGAGTGTCGGATATGACACATCAAAATTTTTGAAATGTCGGTAATTCATAGCCCAGCAACACAAGCGGAGACGAGAAACAAAAGAATACCGAGGTATTCTAAAATCCCTCTTTTTTCAATGAATTTTTTTAAGGTTTCATTCCTATTTGATTTTTTCAAAAAATATGAAAATAATAATATGATACTCCTCGACCTCGCATTCATTCAATTCAGATGCAAATATAGTTGGTAGTATTTCCCCTTTATCCAAAAACCAACCCAAATCTCTCCACTCCTTCTGTCCTTATTTTGGATGAAACAAATTAGAGGAAAACATTTTCTTGTGTTCTTTCAAACAAAAATAATTCTACACCAAAAAAAAAAACAAAAATAATTGAAAAACTATATACAAATAACAAGATTGTATGTTTAAAGCATTTAGCTTACTACTTTAATATATATGCAACGACCATTATGTATTTAAACTCATATTGTGCCTTGGTCTATGTCATCGCTACTTTGAGCATTCCTATATTGGCATTTTTAAATCCTTGAGGGATACATCATTAGTTCTAATTAAATCCACAACACTTAAAAAAAGTATACCGTGAATAACACTAAGTCCGTAAAGAATTTATTGGAATGAAAATATATTGTTTGTCATTACTTCATCTTATGTCACTTTGCAATAAAATTTAGCGATTTTGACGAATCCTTTATCCTCATATAGATTGAATTATAAAACTAAATACCAAAGAAAAAACTTCATATCCAAAAGTCAATACTTTTTGGAAATTTGCAAATGAATATTAAAGAAGTATCATTATTACTAATTAAGCACATCATCAATACAGCGACATAAATAGACTTGGAAAATAAATATATGAATAGCCGGCTAAAGCAAGCAACTTCATATATGCATCCGCAAGTATTATTTGTAATATTAGATGTAGCTTTCTTCTCTCACTTTCTCTTGTTAATT